GGGCCCCCTTCGCCCCCCTGGCCCCCCTGCTGCCTGCAGGCAGTTTCCATGCCCCCCCCCCCCCAGTCTCTGGGGGAATGTGACTTTCATATCAGTCTTAATGCTAAAATGATGATGTATTGTAAAACTAGGTGCATGAACATTTTTTCAGAAACTTCAGGTGGATAGAATAAAATCACTTTGGCATCTAAGGGCATGTGTAGACAAAACAGGGGCCCTAAATTGAAGCAGTGGGTTTTTAAAAACACTGCTTCAATTTAGGGCCCTTTAAACCCCCATGTCAGCGGAGCAGTCCTTGGGCTGTGCGGGGGAGGGAGCTGTTGCTTCCCTCCATGGCAGTGGTGCCCCACCCCAAGGCAGCACTTGCCCGCAGGCACCTGGCTCATGTGGTCCTGGGGGGGCACCGCACCTGCAGAGGGAAGCACTGGGCCCCCGTGCAGCTCAGGCAGGCAGACAGGCAGGCTCCAGGGGAAAAAAAAAAGATGAGGCTCGCTGCTTTTCTTGGGCTGAGCCTGCCTTCCCAGGCTGCTGCCAGGCTGCCTGCACCGGCTTCCTGCAGAGCCCCTCAGCTGCATGGAGCCCAGTGCTTTGCTCTGTGATTATAGGGCAGCAAACTAAAACTCCTCGGAGGCGTTTTAGTTTGCTGTGCGCCAAGTCATTTAAGGGGCATTACGCCGCCAGATTTGCTACAGCGGCTGGAATTACTGCGCAATATGCCGCCGGCACATGCAAACACCAACACCATTAAAGCGGTGCAAAAGCATTTAACCTGCTTTAAAGTGTCATATACACATGCCCCTCGTTTCATCTACATACAGCCTAAGTCCACTTAGATACACAATGGGTGGGATAGGATTGTGTCCTATGTCTTCACTGTGGCTTTTAACATTGAACAAGTTATCTAGAGACAAAAATCTAGTGGAAATGCATACAATTAGTTTGCACCTTGATGGAGAAAATTTAGACTCAAAGCACCTCTTGGAAAATGCCAGCTTAGTTTTCCTTGTTTTTTTGGCTACAGAGAAATAAGAGCCCAATTCTGATTTAAAGAACTCAGGAAAACAACAGGGTCCAGAATGATTTTGATACTCTAGAGTCCTATTTGAAATCTCTGAGTTTCTCTTGAAATATCTGGGTTTCTCTAGTGAATTGTATGTAGGTGTCTGCACACTTATCTGTGCAAGTACTGAGTGCTACCCCTATGGCACCCTTAAAAGGATTTCTTTACTTGAGAATCACTGAATTAAGGCCATCCTTGTGTCCTAACCTTAAATTTAATCAACTACATAAACTGGGTAAAAAACAAACAAACAATTTACGAGAAATGAAATGTACTGTGTGTGACAAGGACATGGCCACAACCCATCTACTTACTGGGCCTCACCGGATCCTGTGACTGGGAATGGTGAAGCTTTTAGGCTTGCAACAGTAGTGTCCTTTCTGATTGGTATAGGCCTGCTTGCAGAGAAATGGATCCCACTGTAATGTGAATATAACAACAGGAGGAACCAGGGGCTGGGGGGCAAGGGAAAAAAAGAAGAGGAAGTTCGAGGTTGGAGTAAGGGGAAGAGAGAGCAGCAAGCAGGTGGAACCTGGTCAGCCCTACACAGAGCTACGTAGCCAGCACAGCGGAGCTGTATCTCCCAGCACAGTGAAGCTGGAAATCTCACTCACTCTGTCAACCAGGACTGTGGCCTGAAGGAGCTGGACTCAGATTTGGGGGCAGCTGCAGGCTGCTGTTTGAGTGCTCTAGGAACTAAAGGCTTGTTTGGGGACACAGGGAGGCAGGGAGTGGGTCCAGGGGGAGAAGGATTAAGGTGCTGTTACCACACTGTTGATGTCTTTACCTTTTACCCTTTCCCTCACGTTGGCTTGTGACCCTAATTTTCTGTATAAAAGTGGGAACTCCCCCTTGCTTCCTGTGCCAGTTTCTGGGGCTGTGGGGTTGGCACACCACACTTTGGCATAGCTCTTTTTCTCTCTCCCTTCTGAGCCCTTTGCTGGGGCAAAAAAAAAAAAAAAAAGGACCTAAAAGAGAGAGACAGAGAGGGGAGGCAGGAGTATTATCAGCCGGTGGGCTGCAGAAACAGGCTGCAAAATCTGTTCTTGTAGGAGACTGGGGAGGCTGAAATGTTTCAGGGGCTTTAGGGATATTGGTTTTAGCTGTGTTGGTCTAAAAGCATAGGCAAACAGAATTCCTGCTTCTGCCTATTGTCTATGCCTCTCTTGCTTACAGCTTTCCCTTTGCCAACCCCTGCAGGTTTCAGGTTAGGTTCCTGGAAGTTCCCAAGCTTGGCAAAACCGTGCCTGGCAAGGCAAAAGGCTTCTGGGAAAAATGGCAGGTGGCAGGCCATGGAAAACTGTGGTTACTCAAAACTATATACTGTGGTAGCCAAAATGGTATATAGAATTTTAAGCATGGATACTCAAAACCGTGGTTGGCAGGGGAAACCTGTACTCAGAGCAGCCCTTTTAAAAATGGACTGTTATACCCAGGGGAAACCCTACCATCTTTTAACTCCCCTGTGGAAGACGAAGTCACATTTCTACCTGGGAACTTTTGCAATCTTTGAATTCTCCTTGGCCTGAGGAAGGATATCTGGGCCCGAAAGCTTGCAAAGAAAGACCTTTTCTTGCTATTTAGTTGGTGTAATAAAAGACAAGAGTTTTGTTGCAGGTCTTAGGTGCCCTGCCCCCAGGGCCTTTTTACACATGTATTTGTCGCAGGGCCGGGCGCTTTGAAAAACATCCGGCACTGCAACACATAGTTGTACAAGTGGTGAAATGCGCATTAGCACTGAGAAAACGGTGGCAACATGCTTTTGAACGACTGCACGTGGCACAGCGCAGGTTGCCTCAACTCCCATGCGCAGATCTATGTTGTGTTGCTGAAAAAAAAGTATATATATAAACGCCCCCCAGTGCGCTGAGGTGCTCTGCATAGAGAGGGGGCACATGGTGCACTAATACCTCAGAGCCTCAGGCGGAAGGGGCACACAGCCCAGCACCGTGCCCCTGCAACCCACCCTGCTGGTTTGATCACACCCGCGCGCTGCTCCACAGAGTGACCTCTAGACCTTCTCTGGCGCTCCTAGCATGGCGCATGCGTAGGCGTGTGCCGGGGCGGGGGGAAAAAGCATCCATCGATGATTCGGTGATCGGGTCATCGACGCTCTCGGGAGCGGCTGCTCTCGCCTGCTCGCCGCCATCTTGAAAGGGGACGGCGGTAACGGCAGCGCGGGTGCCAGGCGGCTGAGCGGGTGCGGAGTGGCCCTGGGGAGCGGGAGGGATCCCGGGTAGGGCAGATGGGCTGCGGTGCCCATATTGGGTCTTGTCTCTGTCCGGCATGACCTTAACTATGGGGGGAGAGAATTAATGGGCCTTGTGCGCATGTGCGGTGGGTGTCTGGGGAGGGGGTTATTCCCTTCCATTGCCCAGCAACTGGGAGCTGCGCGCGCCGCCGAACCAGGCGGGAGGGGCGGGTTTGCGGCCTCGAGGGGCGCCTGCGGGGGCGGGACCGAGCGGCTGGGGGCGGGGCTGGGCTTGGTCCCGCCGCTCCGCGAGCCCCTTGCTGCGGGCCCGGGCCCACGTGTTTGTGCTCCATGTCCGCAGGGGCAGCGGGGATGGACATCCGGCCCAACCATACCATCTACATTAACAACATCAATGACAAGGTCAAGAAGGAAGGTAGGTGGGCCTGGGGAGGGTGATTGCTGGCCCTCCCATTGCCCTCTGCACCTTTCCTCCCCCCTTGTGTAGCAGCCCGGTGTGACCAGGTGGATTGTAATTATTGTATTTGTAGGATCATTTCAACCCTTGGAAGATGCATGATCCTAATTGTAATAGTGTTCAAAATGTACAATCATTTTCGAGTGTCAGGTATCCAGGTTGTAGCTGAATTTGTCTAGAGGCAAAAGGAATCAGCTCTGGTGGTAGAGGTGATATCTTTTATTAGACCAACTAGATTTGGGGTGGGGGGGATCTAGTTGGTTTAATAAAAGATATTACCTCTGCCACCAGATCTGATTATTTTTGAGGCAGCTTTTTGAAGTAGCAGGCACAAAACCCAAGTCCCTCTTGGGGGGCCATCACCGACTTTTGGGTCTGCTGTCAGTACTTTTCTGATGACAGCTTGCATTGAAATAAAGAAATGCTTCAACTTTGGATGACCCAGTTCTCACTTGCTCACTGATGACTTACAGTGAGCAATAGAAAGTAAGTAAGAAGACTTATTTGCATAATTTCTAAGTGTACGGTGGTAGTTTTTCAGCAAATACGATTTTGAGCTTCTGATACAATAATTTCATATTTAAGACCTGGTAATGCTGTCATGGCCCATCCCACACTGGGATGAGAGAGGTCCCTTTCTGCGCTGCCTCAAGTTGAAAGCAGAGTGTCAGGTCCACCAGCAATTTTTTTTTCAGCTGGGGTGCCAGGGCCCCTGGGGTGCTGCCAGAGCCTTTGGAAGGGTGTCACAAGGGGGGCGAGGACATGAAGCAGGTAAGAGAAGGCTCAGGCTTGCAGCATTCCTGATCCCTCATCCAGGCACCTGTCTCCTGGGATGCCTGGACTGTTTCTAGGAGATCTCACTGTGTGACCCAGTCAGCCATTATTCTGCAAAAATATTTTTTCTACTTTCTGCCTTCCAAAAAAAAAAAGTGTCTTATTGGGGGCACACGATATGTGAGAGAATGCAGTAGTAGGAAATACTGTCTCTTGGGCTTGATGCTTTGACTCTGTGTAAATGAGATTATGCAGTTTTCAATTTTTTTTCCATCTAAAAAATTTGCAAATTAAGGTGCATGTTTTTTTTAAGTATTTTTTGTCTGAGTTTATATGTAAAAAATGCAGTTGGTGAAAGTGACACATGTATCTCAAGCTGTGATGCACCATACACATCCTTTCGCTGAACAAAGGGGATATAACGCATGATCCACATTCTTCAGTGTTATAACTAATTTCCTGCTGCCACTCTAGGATAGTATAGTTCAGTCTGGAGGGGTGGGGCAGGTTAGCCTTTAAAATTAGCCCTCCACCCTCCCCAAGTGCCTCTGCCCATACCCTTTCCGATCTGCTCTTCTGCTTTCCGATTCCTGCCTCATGTGCCACACAGACTGCCTGTGCCACTTGTAGCATCTGTGCCCCAGGTAGACCACCCCGGTATAGCTTATTGAAGCAGTTGTTGACACACTATATTAACAGTTTTTATTGTTTTCAACAGAACTGAAGAGATCCTTGTATGCACTGTTCTCGCAGTTTGGTCATGTCGTTGACATTGTGGCTTTAAAAACTATGAAAATGAGAGGACAAGCTTTTGTTATATATAAGGAACTTGGGTCATCCACCAATGCTTTGAGACAGTTGCAAGGTTTTCCATTTTATGGTAAACCTATGGTAAGTTTTTAATTCTTCTAGTTTAGTAAAGTAACTTGGCACTGGGAATCCTGACCTGACCCTAATTTTATCCTGCTTCAGTTTTCATATACCTGCTAGTTGTATCGTGTGGTTATGCTATTTATTCCTCAGTGATGTTCATTTTTTTTCCTAAGCGTCTCTGAGGGACAGCGTTTAGATAAGAGAACTTTATTCAATCAGCCTGTTTCTTCACTTGTTTTGAAATTTGAGTCTAATGTAGTTGTCTTAAGCTTTTTAAAGCTTTGCAGACTTATTTGTGGATTAAAATCTTCATGGTATTTCAATATTCTACATCTACTTCGTTTTTCATTTCTTGACTTAACTTTGAATATCATTGAATTCAAAGTTAGGCAGTCTTAATTGATTACTTTAATTACTTTAATCACAGTAATTATGCTTTGGAATTTATCTAGAATGTCCCATTGTTCTGTTTTTGAAGAGATTGCTTGACTGAAGAGAATAAAGTACCTTTGTTCTCTAATGTAGGGCTGTTCAACTTCTGGGCAGTTGGGGGCTGCATGCCACATGGGCCACAGACCTAGGGATTCGCTTGTTGTGCAGGTGCCCTCCGTCACCATGTGGGCAGTCCAGTGTCTCTTCTTTCACCCGCCGTCCTCTGCCTCCACCTCTGCCATGCACACAGCTTAGACAGTCTGGCTTCTCCCTGCCCCCGTAGCACAGGCATCCTAACTCTCCCCTGCAGCACATACAGCACTGCCTCTTCTGGTCACACTTGCCACTTACTTGCAGTGCTGGGAGCGTGGTTCCTTCCTTCGTTGTATGCAACACAAGCAGCCTGGCCCCCTCCCCATGCCACATGGGCACCCTGGCCCTTCTGTCATGTGCACAGCTCAGGGAGTGGTGGCTAGACAAGAGCCTTTGGTTCTGGGGCTGCATGTGAGCTGTAGGCCACTAGTTGGACAGCCCTGCTCTAATGCACCAGGCATGCTCATCTGTGGCTTGAACCAGTGTTTGTGGCAACTCTTTAATCTGGTAGCCATTTCACTTCTTAACTTCATCAGACATGAATGATTGAAGCAGGAAGGTTTTATACTAACTAAACAGAAAATAGTAAAATTTTATTTAAAGGAAAGTATGGTAGGCAGGTATAAGATAATTTAGTATTCTGGGACTGGGTGTAAAGTTAAAAATGCAATGTTTGACATAAAATAGTAATGCGGCGGTGACGAGGCCTGGGCCTGGGTCTGGTGTCTCTGAGAACTTTGAGAAGGGATGAGAGGGTATACCTAAGGTCCTGAATGCCAGAGCACTTGAACATTAAGAAGAACAACTCCAGATGTGTAGAATTTTTTTTGATCTGTTTCAGGGTATAGAAATCTTGTTTTGTATGAAACATAGAATCATAGAAATTAAGGGCATCTTCAAATTAATCATTAATGATATTTTGATGATACTTCAAATTAATCATTAAATATCATTAATGATATTTAATGATAAATATCATTAATGCAGAATTGAGGTTGTTCAGTAATAGGTTGTGCTTTTCTGGAATAGCGAGTTCAGCAGAATGCTAGCATTTGACATTCAGAAACTTAAAACTTACTGTAGATTTTTCTTTCTTTGAGTAATAGTCTTGCAACATGCCTTCCCCACAACTGAAGCATACTACTCAGAAGGAGTATCACATCTGCTAAATCTGTAGTCTTCAAGGGTGGGAAAATTATTCCCATTATAACATTTTACTTTTGCTTACCTACTGGCACACCTACACGCTGTTCTCATCTTCCTTGTCATTGCTGATAATCTTTATAATAACAATCAGTCAGTGCCAGGCTGTTGACAGTCTACACAAATGCAGCAATAAAATGAGGCAAAGGATTGCTGCTTGTGTCCCCCCTCCCTGCATTACTTACATGGGGATCAGGCAGAAAATATCAGAAGCCAGGCTTGGCCTTCCCAGATCATCTCCTATCAAAACCATAGCTTAGTCAACCAACTAATCCCTCCATTTATCACAGTTTAATAGCATAGATCTGTGGCTTAGTGCCTAAAAATAATTCCATGGAATTGAAAGTAATCAGAAATACATGGTCTAATATCTTGATTATTAACTAAAGCTTCTGAAAACTAGTAATATTGCTAAACCGTGCACTGAAAGGATATGGGATACTGCTAAGATGCATATTGACAGTAGCTAAGTTTTTATTGCTGTCATATTTCTTAGTTGTGTGGGGTTTGGTTTTGTTCTCTCTGTTTTTCCTCTTTTAAAAAAAAGATGAATAACAGCTTTGTGGCTGAAATGCTAGTTGGCTAGATGTTTTGTGATCATTAATGAAGTGGGGAGAAGTGTGTGTGCACACTTGCATGTATGTATGGAGATGTTTGGAGTTTTCAGTTTTCTTCCCCCAAAGGAATGGTAGTCATCCTTCTCTAAATGGGGCCAAGGTTGATTTATTTGAGACTTTTTTTGTGGTTTGATCTCTAACTGTCCAAAAAAAGTTGCTGCTTTTGGCAGCTGTACCTCAGGAACCCCTGGCTCAAATGATGCTCAGCCTATGAAATTGGATCTTGTTGTATACTCTCTTGAGACGTACCAAATTTCAGGGCATTTCAAGTAAGCAGGGAGAATTCGGAGCACTTGGTCATCCTTTAACTAGGAAGAGTCTGTCTTGATACAGTGTGGAGCTGATGTTCTACTTTATTAGGAGAATTAATGCATATGTCTACATGTGATGCTACAGTGATGTAGCGTCCTTTTGGGCAAAAACAGTGACATCATGATAGCAATGTGCTCCTTCGGTATAGTGTGTTGCTATGACAATGTAGCAGCTAAAAATAACAATGCACCACAGTACAGGCTGTTACTGTGCCATCAACAGTAACAACGGTGCCGTAGGGGCACATGTTGATGTGCCCTCTGTTAACTGGAAACATAGCTGGAAAGAATGAATTAAAACTGGATTCAGATGCTATATTTGCTCCTTGGTGAATATTTCATGCTGAAATATAATGGGCTTGTAGCTGCACTTTCTCAATATTGCCCTCCCACTTTGTATTTAGGAAGAGCCCACATAATGAAGGAGATTTGACTATACACATGTTAAATAGCTTACTCTACTTTAAATTCAGTAACTGGAATAATGAATATCACTAGTAACAATACAGTAGTAAAAATCTTTCAGAGAAACGTTGCTTTAATAATTCCAAGTTTCTGCTGTCACTTCAGTGGAGGGCCTCTTGCTTCTCTGCGTTGCTGCTATGCCTGCTCTAGGAAGAGTGCAGTACGAATGCTTGAGTATTCAGGAAATTTTTAATAGGATAGCAGGCAGATAGAGATGCACCACAGGCATCTGGCATTAGCTAAAGTTTTTTTTTATTTTTCCTAGGTTAGGAAGGAAAGCTTTGATCCAGGCTGTCTTTGCTTCGTGTCCCAACTCTTTATTTAAAAGAAAAAAAGTTACACGTTAACAAAATACACTGTGGATTCTGTCCTAATAGTACTTCAATAGATCTCTTCCAAAGTCGGGCCTCTGAGGGATACTGGGCACTGTCATCTGAGCACCTTGTACATCCAGGTGTTAATCCCAGGTTGGCTTTCATTATATGCATTTTAAAAATTCAGCCCATCTAAAGCCAAAGTTACGTAGTATTTCAGCAGTAAAAAATGAAAATACCTGTAGATTAATGGATTAAGAGTTTAATGAGGAGGTTGCCACTTCTTGCTTGTGAACAGAAAGCACCTTGATCATTTTACTGATGCTGTATCTTTCCATAGCTTTTGAGTAAATAACTATTTATTTGAGTAAATAGCTATTTATTTTCTCCAAAAAAGTTTTTTGCATTTTATCTTTTAAATAGGCTGTTGCTGATATGGCTTTCTTTTCTTCTAGCAGTTTTCAGTTTATGGTCTAAGGGAAAAAAGTAGGTCACGCATACTACACTTAGATGGATTGTGTGGTCCTGGTTTTTCTTTGCTGATTTCTGTTTCTAATACAGATATCCTGATGCCTCAGTACAAATAGGAAGGAGCTCATCTATTTGACAAAGCAGCCCAAAATAATAAAGCATGGCTATCTTCACAGGAGGCTGCTGGTTAAGGAGTATAGGGGCTGTTCACTAAAACTTAAGCTCTAGGTATAAGCATGAGCTGCTGGGGGAGAAGAGGCAGAAACTGCTAATGGGACTTGAAGGTTCCAGTGGAAATATGCATTTAAGATGAGTGGAATATGCTAGCAGGGAGCATAGGAAGAAGACCAGGCAACAGGGAAATTGAGTAAAAGCAGTTAGCAGAGATGATTAGGGAGCTGAGGCTAACCAAAGAAAAGAGTAGGAAATGAGCAGAAGGCTTGATAAAACTCTTCTCAAAAAAAAAAAAAAATCCTGCCTCAGAGCAGTTACTAGGAAAATAGTTCTGTATTCACCTGCCACAGGGATGTTGGGAAATTAGAACCCATGGGCTAGTTCTAGCTTACAGAGCTATATCATTTGACCTGCAGGGCTCCCCACTGGTCTGAAAATTTGGTTGCAGGGGAGAGGTGCCAGCATTACTTGCTGCTCCCCAGATGCCAAATTTCTGGACCTGTGGGGAGCCCTGCAGGTGGATTTTACAGTCCTTCACATTGGATCAAGTGCATAGGACTAAATCTGGGTGGCCTGGGGCCTGACCCTATAAGGGATCCAGCCTGTGGACTAGCCCTGCAACACTCGTCCAACCTGCCGGGCTGAAATGTTGAGCACCACTGCCCTAGAGCATTCTGTTTAATCAAAGGAAGAAGAAACAAAAAGCCCTTTTACCTTCCTAAGTCAACCTGATTAGTGTACAGTGCACTTCACTTACTTGTGCATCAGGTAATACATAATTTACTCAACCGAATAGCACAGGGGTGGGCAGTTATTTCTGCTGGAGGGCCACTCAATCAGTTTTTGTGAGCTGTTGATGGCTGCACTTGTAAAATCTTTCAGAAGAAATCGTTTTAACAAATTATAGATTTAAAAAACCCCCCAACAAATTGTATACTAAAAATCAAACATCTACTATAACTTTGGACAAAAAATATTTTTTTAATAGACTTGTGTGTTCTTTTTAAATAGCATATATAGAGGCGATTGCATCATAGCTCAAAATAAAGTTTTACTCTTGTATATCGTGTTTGGGGGGTGAATACCTGTGTGCTAGGTCCTGGGAGCTGGTAGTGGTTGGGGGAGGGAAAGGGGAAGGAGATATGTGGAGCAGAGTTTACCTGAGGGGTGGGGTGCAGATGCAGTCTGCCCTCCCCCAACCGGCCCATTGCTGCTCCTTGGAGCAGTCCATATCACGCTTCCACCTGCTGGCCCCAGTCTTGGCCCGGGCCATTGTGCATGGCTTCCTGGTGGGGCTGATCCTGGTGCAGCTACAGCTGCCAGGGAGTTGCTCAGCTTTTTCCTCTGGCCCCAGCTGTGCTGCTTCAGGTTGTGGGGAGCTGCAGCTGGGTGGCTCCTGCCCCAGTGTGCAGTGCTCCTGCCCCAGCTCCAACTTCCGGCCACCTTCCACACACTCGGTCTGCAGATGACTGCTCGCTGCAGCCAAGTGAGCGGATAGTGGCCTGGAGCCAGAGCCCTACATGTTGAGGCAGGAGCCACCAGGCTGTAGCTTCCACTGGTCCAGAGTGGCGCAGCAGGGCTAGGAGGAGGAGGAGCCATTGGAGGCAGGGGGAGCTCAGCAGCACCTGGGGGGCTGCAGGTGCTCTGAGAGCTACCTTGCTGAGAAGTGTATGTTGGCTAGGGCCAGGCCAGCGGGCATGGATAGGAGTGCTGTGCAGGCTGCCCCAGGCAGGTACAGGTAGGGCTTGGCCCCACGTGCAGCGCTGCTCAGGACCAGCTGTGGGCCATATCTAATTAGTAGGTGGGCATCTGCCTGGGGGCCAGATCTAGTCCATAGGCCATATTTTGCCCACCCGTGGCATAGCATGATGCCAGTACCAATTCGTTCCCTATTGCTTACACTGTAACAAATGCCAGTTGGCTTCATACTGGTTTTGTAGGGGGGGGGGCGGGGTATTAAGTCCTGAAGCTATGCACTTTGACAGAGTACGCTTTATTTGGTATAAAAGATTTGCCATTCCCACTCAGAATGAATCAATGATGATTACTAAGCGTGTTGTGGGTTAAACTCAGGATAGAATGTTTTTTTAGGCAAGAAACTCCTGTAAGCATTATGAAGGTCAGTCAAAGTAATATTTCCTCTTCCCAGCCTAATATTTTTTTTTTTCAATAATTAAACTTGCATATAAAATAAGTACATCCTTGCTGAACTCATATGTATTATTCGACATGGTCTACTTCTCTGTCAATGCCTTCTCACTGGTGAACTGCGGCAAGTTTCACAGCGTCATAAAAATTATTGTCCTTGCTCAACAACTCCTTCACAGCTTCCATCATTTCGCTATCATCTTGAAAATGTCACCTTCAACATCTGCCTTTCATGCTCTGCCCAGCATAGAGGATGGGGCCATACTGTCCATCCAACCAGCGAAGTTGCTTCTGTGGTGTGTAAGCTGGTGTGCAGGCAAGTGTCTTCCAGAAACAGTACCTCAGACGTGTCTCTGTTGCGATGAGCTTTTGAATGCAGTGTTTCAGTTTCTCCAGGGTCTTGGCATAGGAGTTTACTGAGGCCTCCTTGGGGAAATAGACAATAAGGATAACATCTTCCCTGTCTGTGGCTTACTTAGGAGATTAAAAAGTAGGAGACATTACTTTGACTGACCCTTACATTTCAGCATTCCCCGTTTCAGCATTCCTTATAAAATATTCTTGGCTTGTTTAAACAGCGGATCCAATATGCAAAAACAGATTCCGATATGATCTCCAAAATGCGTGGTACATTTGCTGATAAAGAAAAGAGGAAAGAGAAAAAGAAAGCCAAATCCCTGGAACAATCAGCCAATGCAGCAAATAAAAAGGTTGCTCAGGTAAGTTGATTGTGTAAATGCAACAAAACCCCTATTCTCCAAAATTAATTTGAAAGCTACCTTCTCTTATGGAGTAAACTCTTTCAATGTGGTATTTTTAGAGGGAGAATTTTTGAGCATTGACTGCCTATATTTTTAAGGGGAAATACTTAGAAGACTAATGCCTTTTGGTATACTGTACTAAACTTCTCAAAAGATTTTACATATGCAATTTGTCTTCAAAGCAATTTAGCTGCAATGTCTTGTAAAGGAGCAAAAGTCTTTTAAGGGAATTGTGTTAAGATAAAAGTTCAGTTTGTTTACTGAAAGGCACCAGCAATGTCTACTCATTCTGCCTTTCCACATAGTGTATATGTATCAGTTGGTTAGGAGTGCCTTTATTTCCATAAAGGTTTTTTGATCTTTTTTTAGAAATAAATATTAGCTGTTGGCAATACTCTTGCAAAGTATCAAGGCATTCCAAACAGTGAAAACTTGTAAGGGAGTTCCTTGCTGAGAGCATCAGTAGCTGGCTTTGTTTTAATGCAGAATGTGCACTAAATGTGCAGAATGTTTAGATGTGAATATTAATTTTTTACCAGAATCTCTATGAAGAGATTCAGTTGCAAGAATTGCTTTGCGGAAAATGTTAAGATTAGCAAACTTAGAGAATTGATCACCCTTCTACATAATGCAGTGTATATAAAGAGCTTTATTCTGCTCAACCTGAAACTAGGCTGTCAAGACAAGTTCTAAAGGATTCATTTCTTTAACATAGTGTCCTCCTTATCAGATCAGCAGTGCAAGTTGGAATCTTTTCTCTGTTATAATTGATGCAGACAACAGACAAGTAACCTTTCTTTCCC